ACCTTGCTGCAGCATAAGCTGCAGCACTATCTGTAACAATATATGCAATTTTAATACTATTAGACTTTATTTCATTGTAGATATTCTCTATTTGGCTTATAACTTCTACAGTATAGCTATGATCTATACTAATATGAATCATCTAGGGCAACTATAAAAAGTGCAGTAACATGACCTTTAGCGCAGCCAAACCAAAACTGTATACAACTTTATATACAACTACAGCTATTTACAAGAAAAAAATATTCGCGATATAACTTTACCATGAACAGACCTAATTTCTTTTTTACTTAATTTCTGGTCAAATTAGGATTTTGAAAATTATCGGCCTAAGCTAGATTAATACAGGCCAAATGTCATGATCACATTACTGCAATTTTTATAGTCGCCCTGAATGATTCTACTAATATCATGGGCTTCCCAAACTAAAGATTTACCTGCTGATGTAATCATAACAATACCTAACAAGTTTTGCGCTCTAACATTAGTTCAACTATCCATTAATAGTGTAATTATAACATCTTCTTTAGTAGCTTTTTCAATTAATTCATCTTGAACACATGATGCTGCATTATTCAAAATTGTTCTTGCAAGATTTTGACAAGTAGAAAGTTTAATATTTGGATTTAAAAAGGTAAATACAGCTTGTAATTCAAGGTTTTCACTTGCATGAAATGCTATTCTTGTTGATATTGTAGCACGTAATCAAAGCTCATTAAACTTTTTTTTTTCTTTGATCATTCATATTACAAGCAATAAATTGATCCAATAGTTTAATTTTATTTGAAACAATTGTATTTTTTGTTAAAATTGAGTTAGATTTTTTAAATAAACTTTCTGCATTTGTTGCTATAACAATTTTAGAATTTTTAGAATTTGTTCAGTTTAAAATATCTTCTTGTTCTTCTAAAGTATGTGCATTTTTAAAATATTCACATTGTTTTAAATATGATTTTACACATTTAGCAGTATTTGTAAATTTTTGATTGTCAGAATATTCTTCTCCAAGTATAGCAATACAGTAAATGCATCGATATAGATGATTAAAACTATTAGGCTTTTTAGGATAAATTTTCACAAATTCAGATAAAGGATGCCCACTTTTTTTTGCTTTACTCATTATATTTACTAATAAAGTTAAGTAAATTTAAATTTTATATATATAGTAATATACAGTAAATATAAAATTAATAATTCTTTTCATACTTACTATGTAGTAATTTATAAATCTATACCGTATATTGCCGAAAATAAGCCACCTCCGAAAATAAGCTACACCCTTTTTTCTTGGAGAAGAAACATAGGAAAA